AACGAATTTAGTGTGATTTTCAGAGTATGTTCAGATATAGTATATATTACAGTATTTAGTATTTTGACTATAACATCGTCATTACTCAATGAAAATCGAAAAAGCTTTTTACTAAAATAATCAGCGAAAAAACCTCTACAAAGTCCGATATGAAAGAAAATTTTCAGAATATCCTTATTATTTGTTTATGCATAAAAACAAAAATGTACATGCTTTTTTTGAGCCCTCACTCTATTACATATCGTATTAATAATTTCATTATTTAAGAGAAAATTGATATAGAAAATTCTACTATTTTTCTATCAGGCTTTATTATGAATTCAACAGAACTTGTATATCAATGCATAACATCATAGTTGTACACTGATATGAAGAAATCGAACTGAAAAATACATGACAGAGTGAAATTTAGAATACACATACTACAGATTATACATTTAGCATAATAACACCATAACATAAAAGAAAACAAAAAAAAAAATAGAATGTTTATTGACGAGCTGATGGTCCAACACCACCAGTTCCACGTCCACCTAAACCTCCTCTTCCACCACCACCACCAATACCACTTCTTACAGGCCATGGTCGACGAGTAGCTGAAACTAGAAAGATTAAAATGAAAATAAATAAAATTTCATTTTTTTTTTGTTTTTCTATTGACTTACTACTCATAAAAGGACGTTGTCGACCAGTACCACCACGATTTATTTGTGCTGATCCACCACTACCAATCGTTGGAATTGATTGTACATCATAAATAATTGGTAAAATATCACCACGACGTTGATCATTTGTTTGTTCAGCTGTAGTTATATTTGTTGATTCTGTTGTTGTTGTTGTTGTTATCGTTGTATCACCGACTGTTACAATATTTGTTGTTGTAGTATTTGATCGAGTTTCAGTATCCATTGCTTAAGACAAAAATATGAAATAAAATTTTTATTTTTAAATAAATGAAATTAATTTACATTGTTCAGTTGAAATTGTTTCTTCAACAGATTGACTAACACCTTCATTATCAGTTGATATCTAAATTAAAATTTTTTTTTTTTTATCTTTCTATAAATGATTAACAAATAAATTATATTATATTATACCGGTATGATATCTGTTCGTGTTGTATTCAAAACATCTAAGAAAAAAAAAAATAAAATAAAAAACGAAATTTTATTTTACTGTTTGATTTTTATATTAATTATTTAAATATTTACTTGTTTCGATAGTTTCTTGTTGTTCCTTAAAAATACATATATATATATAAAATTAAAATTAATTATGAAAATAAATATTTACTTGAATAGGAATTAATTGTTGTTCACGTACTTGTGGTTCAACATGAGCAATTAATGGAGTTATCTATATAAATTAATAAAATTTAAAAAGTCTTATACGAGTAAAAAGAAAAAAAAAACGATTTCGTTTCGTAGATTACTCATAACTTTTTTTCTATTAGTTAGAATTTATTTTGATAATTTAATTAGCATTAGAAAAAAAAAAAGATATTTACTTCAGTTTCTGGTTTAGATCGTTTAAGTGTAGATTCTGTGGATCTAAAACAAAGATACAAAAAAAAATAATCATTTTTCTATTTTAATATATGGACTAAATCAGCGCAAACAGGACATTCATTCGTTCTATTTGAATGTAATTCCCTATCAGTATAGATTTTCTGAGTGAATTGTTTTTGCGTAGGCTTATGTAAAATTATCTGTTCTTTCACATGGTTATTAATTAATTAACTAATTAAGAAGTAATTAGCGAATATCTCGATAACCAAATGACGAAAAAACTTGAAAACTTCAGGATAGGCTCTAAAGTATGAGCTACATATATGGTAAAAATGTTCAGCAAGATTGGACTTCAAAAATTTCCGTCCGAAAAATCGACCTTTCAGAGCCTTTAGACAGACCTGAAACGAAAACATTTGTCTTAGTATTATTCTAGGAACTTCTACCAGTGACATTGCAAACTTGGAGTATGCATATCTTGGAATTATCAGCTGGTTTAGTTGTGATTTTTGCATGTTGTACAAGTCTCTATTCACTCTAGATACCATGAAAAAATCAATACTCTAGAGCTTTGTTTAGAGAAGTTATTAACGAAAAACTAGTGTTATTGATGTGACACCAAAAAGGACATCATCTGTCACTTGATATACTTTGGGTATTCAAAATCTATATTATAATGTTCAGTGTCTGTCTGTGCCGGGTCAAAGGTTACAGGTCACATAAGGCTATAAGGGGAAGATCTCCAGGGACTATTGTATGGGGTACTTATAGGTCCTCAAGGGCTATCCTATGGGGTATCCATAGGTCCCCAAGGGCTATTATATTGTGATACGTATAGGCCCTGAAGGGAGTAAGGCAATAGGGAGATAAGGTTATAAGGCCGAAGGCTGCATGGACTATAAAAATATGTGCGATATGAGAGTATGAGGTCAGCGGGCAACCTATCTATATACATAATATCGAGTGTCTGTATGTATTTTACCGGATGAAAAGTTAAATGTCTGAGGTCATACATTAAAGGAGAAAACAGCCATGCAGTATGCACGGGTTCTCGCTAGTTTCTAAGTATTGCAGAATTGCCGAAAACGTAATACGTGATACTAGACACGATTCCTAAGACTACCAAATCCTGGTGTAAAATTATTTTGAGCATGTCTAGATTTTTCAAACAAAAGAAAAACCAAATTTTTTCGGCGTTAGCGCGATCTGACTGAGTACAACTTCACTACTGATCAAATGCTCTTGATAATGAACTGAAAAGTTCGAAATCGATTCCAAAGAGTTCACGTTATTAATGTCGCTAATGAATGATTTAGTCCATATATATATAATTCTACTTACTTATGATCACTATCATCAGCTCTTGTACGTTTCATTAATAAATTAACACCAGCTGCTGTTGTTATTTGAGTTGTTTGATGTTCAACAGCCGTTGTCGCTATTAATTTAAAAACTCAACTAATTTCATTTGAATTTATATAATATTTACATACGTGCAGTAGTTGTTTCAGTTGTAGTTCCACCAGTCCAAAGTGATGCGCTTGTAGTTGTTGATGTAGCTGATGCTGTCATTGGTATAGCTACACCAATTTGACGACCACTTGATGGAGCCATTGGAACAACACGAGAAATAACTGGTTCTCTAATATTACAAAACAAAAAAAAAAGAAAATAAATTCATCTAAAACATCCAAAATAAAAAGAAAAAAACAAAACAAACAACTAACTGTGTCATTGGTGAAGCATATGCTTGTGGACGAACTGATTTTGATGTAACATCTTCTGATTGTTTAGTTGTTGATGATGTCATTGAATTTGATGATGTTGATGACTGAAATAGAAAATATTTTTTTTAAAAAAAAGAAGAACTTTCATAAGAAAAAAAATACAATACTTTATTTGTTGTTAATTCTTCAATTTTTTTTCTTAAACGTAATATTTCTGCCATATGTTCATTTGAATCAATATTATCAAATAATTGTATAATATGTTTAAGATCATTAATTTCAGTTTCATAAGTTTGTCGTATACTTTCAATAAGAATATGAGCTTCTAGAAAAAAAAAACTTTTATATTTATATTTTTTAAAACCAAAAATTCAAACCAGTTAAATCATTTGATATACGTGTTTGTTTAGCACGTATTAATTCATTTGTCATTTGTGTTATACGATTTTGTTGAGTTGTTATTCTTGTACGTGCCATAACAAGAGCATCACGAAGTTTATTCATTTTTTCAGTTAAATCAATTGGTAATGCACGATTCTAAATTGAATTTTAAATATTTTACTTGTTTTTTTGTTGTTGTTGAAAATATACTTTATTTATATCAACTGGATTTTCAATTGGAGGTGGAAGTTCTGTTGTTCCACTAGGTAATAATTCATCTGTATCAGTCGATGTTGGTACTGCTGTTGTTGTTGAAGTTGTTGTTGCAGCTGCAGCTGCAGCACTTGTTCGATATTTAATTGCAATACCTTTTAACTAATATGAAAAGATAAATTTTAATTCAACATTTTTTGTTTGTAAAAAACAAACTTTAATATTCATTTCTTTTAATTTTTGATTATCATCTTCAACTTTTGAAATACGTTCTTTAAGATTATCATTTTCACGTACTTGTTGTTCTCTTTAAAAATAAAGAATAAAAATTAATGACATGTTGATATATATTCTATAATTTAAATATTATTTTTGTTGTTTAAATTTTAAATGAAATTTATTCTTATGAAAAATAAGATTTAAATTTAAAAAACAAAAAAAAAATTATATTAACATACATTTCAGTTGTTTTAATAGTTAATTGTTCTTGATTTATTGATATTTTTTCTTCAATTTGTTTTAATTGATTATTTAATAATTCTTTTTCTTGTTTAAGTTGTTTAATAGTTGTTTGAATAAGATTATTTTCTTGTTGTATATGATCTTTTTCTTGTTCATATAATTGACATTTTTCTTGTAAATTATTTATTTGTTGTTGATCATTATCAAAACGATCTTGTAATGTTTGTAATGATTGATTTTTTAATTTAAGTTCATCAATTATTTGTTGATTATTTAAATATGTTTGTTCTAATGTATTATTACGTTCAGTTAAATGTGCATTATCTAATCGAATACGTTCAACATCATCTGTTAAACGTGCATTTTCAACACGAAGATAACTAAAGAAAGAAGAAAAATTATAAAATCAATTTTTCGTGTTTAATCTCTTTCAAATCTTATTCTTTATTAATATCACTTTTTTTGTTTTCGACTTGAAATTCAACATCAATATATAGATTCATATATATCCTGCATTGAAAGAGTACACATGAATTTATATATATATATATATATATATGATGAGTTTAAAATAAATAAATCGATATTAATAAAATATAAAATTCAAAATGACGAGTAAATAATCGTTTTTTTTTTCTCTTTCGAAATATTAATTTAAATAATTTACTTATTCATAGCAAGTATTGTATTCCATGTTTCATTAACAGATGAATCTGTTGTTGAAACAGTTGTTTCACTTTCTTTAGCAGCTAAATGTGTTGTTAACTAAAACAAAACAAAAAAATGCAAATAAAATATCTTAAATTATTTTTTGGTTTTTTTTTTACTTTAATCATTAAAGCATGTTGTTCATTATGTTTTTGTTCAAGTTCATTATAACGTTGTTCAAATTGTTGTGTTAAATCTTGTTGAACTTTAAATATATCATCTTTTTGTAGAATTGTTGTTTCATATTGTTGAATTTGTTCAAGTAATCGTTCATTATCATTTTGTAATGATATTAATTGTTCAGATAATTCATTATGATGTTTTTCTAATTCATTAAAATTAATTTGTTGTTGTTCTATTGTTAATTGTAACTAAATAGAAAAATAAAATTAATTATTTATTTCTTGAAAAAAAAAAACAAAATTACTTGATCAATTTTTTCTTTTAATTGTTGATTTTCATCACGAGATTCTTCTATAGTTTGTAATTGTTGTAAAAATTGATTTTTTTCATTAAGTAATTGTTCATTACGTTCATTTGTTTGTATTAACTAGAATAAAATATTTAATTAAGAAACCAAAAAAAAATCTTCTTCTTCTTTTTTTCTTTCTTACTTCAGCTTGATGTTGATCATTTAATGTTTGAATACGTTCATTTAATGAACGAATATTTTCTTCATTTTGATTAATAATTGATTGATGATTTAGAATTTCTAAATAGAATTTAAAATAAATATATATTAAACTCAAATTTCAATAATAAAATGATTAAAATATCGAACTATGGATTTTCGTATTAAAAAAAATCTTCAGATCATTTTTAGTTCCTATGCACCTAATAACTTCGAGAAAGAAACATTTGAGGATCTTAAATCTATGAAAACTTTTATTCGATATATATCAAGATCTATTCATTGTGAATGTTTCAAAAAATTTTTGCTTTTGCCATTCTCGATAAAAATTGACAGTGTGAGGGATGACCAAGGAGGAAAACAAGACTTTAGATACCAAAATCTGCCCTTGTCCGTATATCGGTATGTTTTATGCTTACAATAGCTGAGAAACAGCTTGCTCGAACCTAATTGATTGATGCTTGAGATGTAGGGATTACGCTTATATAAGGCAGAGTTGGAACCGGCTGCTATAAGGGCTTCCAACCTCAAACTGACAGCGCTTATGAACACAAGCGAGAATGGATTGGTCACTTAGATATTCGAAGTTCATAAGAAACGTCCGCGCTTATATGAGTGTGCCCAAATTTGACGAAACTAGCATTGATTGATATCCCCCTCCCCCCAAATCTGCTTTTTCTACTTCCGGAGTTTTAAATCCTCCCTCCGAAGGACTATTCCTGGCAGAGGTCCAAACAGGCCACATTTTTTTAGGCCTGTACGGCCTGTCAAGTTTTTCGAGCGAGTACAATAATGATGACAGACTAGAAATCAGAGGCCACTAGGGCTATTACTCAACCTGATTCTGAGCCGCCTGTCATAAGCGTCATCCATGGTTTTCAGACTAGTGCAAGTGACAGGCCAAAAATTGCTTGGACCTCTGACTTGCACTAGTCTGAAAACCATGGGTGATACCTATGACAGGATCAGGTTGAGTAATAGCCCTAGTGCCCTGTTTGGACATCTAATTCCTGGTATTCTAATATTTATTTACCTTGTTTGAATCGTTCTATTTCATTTTCATAATCATTAGATTTTTGTGCAAATTCCTAAAGAATAAATCAATAATTATTGTAAAATATTTAAAATATAATTCTACCTGTTTAACTTTTTCAAGTTCATCAATTGCTTTTTGTCCATTAATATTCAATTGATTAACATTATCAATATTTGATTGAATTAATGTTTGCTTTACTAAAACAAAAAAAAAAAGATAGAACACATTTATTTTTTTTCTTGTTCATACATTCTAATTCATTATTAGCTGCATCAAGTTTAACTTTAAGTATTTTTAATTCTTTTTCATAATCACCAAGTTGTTGTTCAAAATCTTTTAATATTAAAAAAAAAAATAATTTTTAATTAAAAAATATTTATTTTAACAAACCAGTTTTTTGATTTGTATTCGTATTTAATTTTGTTTCTATTTCATTAAGCTAAATATAAATTTAAAAAAAAACATGAAGATTTTCTTTTGTTTTCTTTTTTTACTTGTCGTTGTAATTGTTCAGCTTTTTCTTTTTCTGTTGTAAATTTTGTTCGTATTTCCATATGATTTATTTTTTCTTGTTGTAAATTTTGTGTTATTTCATCTAAACGTGATTGATATGTACGTTCAGTTAATTCTTTTTCACGTTCATTTTGTTCTATTCGTTGACATAATTCTTCATTTTGTGCTGTTAAATCATTTAATTTAGCTTGAAACATAGCTTTTGTTTTTTCTTTTGTATATTGAGCTAAATTCTATAGAAAAAATAATTTTTTTTTTATTTAAATTATATATATAAATATATATTTAATTTACTTGAAGTTTTTCAATAACTGGTTGAATTTGTTCATTTTTAATTATTTCACTTTTTAATAATATACATTCATTTTCAATTTGTTCATATTTTATTAAATCAAATTTACGTTCATTTTCTAATGTATTTAAACGACATTCTAATGATGTTTTTTCATCTTTTAATTGACGTAATTCCTAAAATAATTAATTTTTTTTTTAAAAAGATTTATTATAATCACTTTCAAAAAAAAGAATCAATATGATTGATAATTCTTTCGATCAGAACATAAATGAGTATTGTTTTCTAATGTTTGTTTTATTAATCTTATAGAATAACTCTTCGAATTAGAATGTAATTAACTATTGTATAAAATTAAGAAATCATCCGAACTAATGCCTCCTTCAAAAAAAATAAAACGGCAGATGAGTATTTTTTGAATATTTTCCTAACAGTTTTAGTCAAAAAATTGCTTTTTTTCTTATACATTAAAAAAAACTTTAATTTTTCGATTACAGTAAAACCTTCCTATAGTGAACACCTATGAGACTTTTTGAAAATGTCCACTATAGGAAGGTTTGATCTTTTCAAAAAGCGAAGTTTTTCGAAGAAGCGAGTGAGATTTGAAGGGTATTAGTGAACAAGATAACTAGCCAGTGCTCATTGTTACTTCTCTTCTCATGCATTTTTCTTCTTGAAATACAAAAAAAAATCAACAATTGTTAGAATACAGGAAGGCTCTTTAGTTGACACTGAATGAGACTTCTCAAAAATGTCCAATATCGGATGATGTCCACTATAGGGAGGTTCAGTTCCAGCAAAAATCTCTCCGCCGGATCGCGGGGTGTCCACTATGGGAGGCTTTACTGTATTTTTGTTCAAAAAAAAAATTGGGTAGTAAATTATACTCCAATGGCTAGGATATCTTATTACCCATGTAAAAATTTTTGATTAAAAATTTGATTAAAAATCGATTAAAATGGCACGATTTTAATCAGATTTTAATCGGATTTTTTAGGTTTGAAGACGGATTTTATTTGATTTTAATCTTTTTTAATCTATTTTAATCAATTAATAAGCTTGAATCAGTTAAAACTAATTATCAAAATCGATTTTAGTTGATTGAGGTTTATTAATCGATTAAAATAGATTAAAAAAAGATTAAAATCAAATAAAATCCGTCTTCAAGCCTAAAAAATCCGATTAAAATCTGATTAAAATCGTGCCATTTTAATCGATTTTTAATCAAATTTTTAATCAAAAATTTTTACATGGGTAATAGTGGTTAGCAATAGAGGTGGAAAGTTACCGTTCCCAAACATTACCCGGGAACGGAAACGGTAACTTTTCCGTTACCAGTTTCCCGGGGACTGGGAACGGAAAAGTTACCAGTTACCTGGGAACGTAACGATAACTTCCCACCCCTAGTTAGCAATAGAATTTTTATATAGTTTTGTAGCTCTTTATCTGATGGTTCTAACATACTCTTGAAAACCAATAAATTAATATCGTGACTATGAAAGGCATGCTGTTTTTCTAGAAGTTCATATTGAACTTGCAAGGACGCCTTGGTGCGATTAGAGGATTCATCGCTATGATCGTTTAGAACTTGATTAGGATGGTTTTATTGAACTTTCCATCATTATAATATATTAACAATAGAAAATTCTTTCCGCTCGACGCTTTTAATATATTCAGTAGAGTTATCTATGCGGAAAAGTTTATTACTTGTTTTTTCTGTAGATATATGAAAATGAGCTGAAAATTCATTAAAAAAATCTTAATTTCGCTCTAAAGATAGGTGCGTAACCAATGGGTGCCGCTTCACTAATAATTTCCTTCAAAGGTGTGTGGGAGTAAATCTTTTTTGAAATTTTGACACTGAATCAATCTGTACAATATTAAATCTCTGAACATACATTTAAAACATTGAAATATTGTTGTTCTTGTTTATTTCTAATTTGATTCAACATAGAATGTCTTTCTTGCCAACCATTAATTTCCGTTCTAAGAGAAGTAATTGTTAATCTATTTGTTGCTTGTTCTTCATTAATTAAATTTAACTTAAAAAAAAAAAATAAAACAAAAAGTAAAATTTTTCAAAATAAAATAATTTAAAATACTTTTTCATTAGTTTGTTCAAGTTCGGTACGTGCTGTTAAAAGTTCATATTGAATTGAACGATTTTTTTCATTTGACGTTCTATAAAAAAAAAAAGAACAATATTTTCTTTTTTTTTTTTAATTAAATTTTAACCTGATAAAATCATCTTTTTCATTAGTTAATTGTGCATTTTTTTTTGTAAGTATATCAATTTTTTCTTGTAAACGATTAACTTGATCACGTAAATTTTCTATTTGATGAATATCAACTGTTTGATTTGTTGATGAAGTCTGAAAGCAAAAAAAATTTTTTTTTTTCATTCAAAAAAAAACAAAATTTCAAATATACAGTTTGTGATGATGATGAACGTGAAACTAATAAACGAAGAAAATCTCGTTCTTGAATTAATGATGTCATCTAAGACAAAACAAAAAACAATTATGTCTTTTAAATTAAAAATAAAAACCTGTGTTTCTAATGAATCTAATTGATTTTTTGTTTCTTTTAATTTTTCTTGTTGTTGTTGATGTTCTTTTTTAAGTTCATCAAATCTTGTTCGATTAAGATCTTCATCATTATTATTATTTTGTGCACGCATTTCACGTACTAATTTATCTAATTTTTGATTAACATGTTGAAGTTCAACAACATTTCTAATTAACAAAAAAAACAAACAAAACAATTGATATAAGGAACAAAAACAATCAACTAATAAAGAAAACTTCTACAAGTGTTAATCGCCGATCAAACACATATTTTACCCACTAGCAGAAGTCCAGAAAGATTCGTCCTCATACGTTGTCCTTCCGGGAAGTTACAATCGTTTTACTGGTTTTTCGATCTCTGTCAATGGTATTTATAGGGAAAGTCAACAATGGAATTTTGTTCATAAACAGATCTCATGATCATTAGAATGTCCTAAAAGTTTCAGCTAAAATGAAACGTTTCAGGATAGTCTAGTGATCAGAGATGTCCATCGCGGCTGAAAATCTGCCGCTGCCGCGCCGCGGCCTTAGAAAAAAAAAGCTGCCGCACCGCTGCCGCGCCGCGACGGTTTATAAAAAAATGTTGCCGCGACGCTGCCGCACCTCGATGACTTATAAAAGAAACGCTGCCGCGATGAATTATAAAATAAACGTGCCGCTGCCGCGACGGTTTTCAAAAAAGTGTTTCTAATTTCACTGCTGTGACTATATTTGACCAGAGATATGGGTACTAGTCCATCAGATTTATTCAATATCAGGGCGTTTCATTTGTAAATCCTGAAATTCTATTAAATTCATACAGTTTTTCAATGTCCTCCAAAAAAAATCCTGCCGCTGCCGCGATGGTTTTTTAAAAAACCTGCCGCTGCCGCGATGACTTTTAAAAAAATCTGCCGCTACCGCGCCGCTGCCGCGCCGCCATCGCGGCAGTGGCAGCGCCGCGATGGACATCTCTGCTAGTGACCATGAGACCTGTTTATAGGCAAAATTCCATTGTTGATCTTCCATATAAATATCATTGCCCAAGGTCGAAACAACAGTAAAACGTCGTAACTCTCCGGAAGGACAACATATGGGGACGAATCTTTCTGAACTTCTGCTAGTCTTACTTATGGGTAAAATATAAGCTCGATCGGCAATTAACACTTGAAGATATTCCCTCGTAAGTCATGTATTTACCGAAATGTTAATGGTACTTCTTGATTTAGATCATATTCAGGTGATGTTTCACGATCAGATGGACGTTTACCTGTACGTAATTCTTCGATTTCAGCAAGAAGAACTTGAATCTGAGAAATAAAAAAACTTTTTCTTCAGAATTATAGCATTAGGTTGAACATTTCTTATGTCATGTTTCCGTATTCGAACATTAAAAAATTAAGAAAACTTCGCTTCAAATTATCTAACCTTTGTTGCCAATGACTTATTATCATTGATTAGAAATTGATTTTCACGTTGTATATAACGATAATTTTCAATACTTTCACCTGATAATTGTTGTAATTCGGATAATTCCTTTGATGAAAAAAAAATGTTAAGTAATTTTATTAATATCGTTTTTTTTGTCCTATTTTACTTTTCTTGCTTCATTTAATTCACTTGTTAATTTAGCAATAACTTCAAATGATGCTTCATAATCTTGTTTTTGTCGTCGAAGTATAGGTGCTGCTTCTTTAATCATCTAAATAAATAATAAATAAGAATTTTCTGTTTTTTTGCTTTTCTTTTTCAATATTAACTGATGAAAGTTGTTCATAACCAAAACGAAAACGTTCTTTGCCTGTTAATTCTAATACAAGTGCACTTTTTAATTGACGACATTCAGAACAATTCTAATAGAAAAAAATAAATAAATTTATATTTATGTTTCTTTTTTTTTTCTCCTATTACCGTTGTTGATGTTGGAGTTGATGTTGAATCACTTGAACGAATATGATTGAGTGTACCATCAAGAAAATTTGTCAATTGTGTAAGATCAGCACCTAAAAAAAAAAAGATTTTCTTCTGTTGCAAAATTTATATCAACGACTAACTCTATATAATTATGAAATTTTATATACAAAGATTTAGATCAAAATTTCAATAGGAACTGAAATTATTTTAGTTTTTATTAGAATACTCTATGTAGTATCGATAGACAAACAAAAAAGAAAACATCATTAAAATCGTCTCATACAGTTTTTGATCATATATATATGTTAGAGTTTTTTTTTTGCAGGAAATAAATACCTTTACTACGAATTGATTCGAGTAATTGTGTTGTATTATCTAATTCATCTTGTAATCGACGAATTGTTTGTTCTAAATAAATAAAAATTAAAAAAACAAAAGATTCTAATTAACATCAACCTTTTATTTTTTCGATTCAAGAAAATATCTTATTCTCTTTTTGTATAGATATTCAAATATTTAAATTCATAAAATTTACTCGTTTATAGAAAACAAAAAAAAAATTAATTTTTTGCTAATATTACATTGTTATTGAATAGGAAAGATTACTCAAGTTTTATGAAAATTATACAGATATGATGATTTATTATTATGAAATTTGTATCTATCACTACTAAATAATATTAAAGCGAGTGGAAAAAAAATATACTTAAAACACATATCAATTGATCTAAAATCGATAGGATTTATTAATCGAAGATATTAAGAAAAAGGAATTTCTCGTATACTAGAAAAACAAAAATAGCCTTTTCTCAGCATAAAAGAATTTTTTCTATTTTTGAAAATTAAAGATTGATATATAAAATAACCATTATATTGTAGAACAGAGGTCCAAACAGGCCACGTTTTTTAAGCCTGCACGGCCTGTCAAGTTTTTCGAGCGAGTACAATAATAATGATAGACTAGAAACCAGAGGTCTAAACAGGACACTAGAGCTATTGCTCAATCTGATCCTGACCCGCCTGCCATAGGCATTACCCATGGTTTTCAGACTAGTGCCAGTGACAGGCCAAAAATTGCTTGGATTTCTGACTTGCACCATTCTGAAAATCATAGGTGATGCCTATGACAGGATCAGGTTGAGCAATAGCCCTAGTGCCCTGTTTGGACCTCTGGTTTCTAGTCTGTCATCATTATTGTACTCGCTCGAAAAACTTGACAGGCTGTACAGACCTAAAAAACGTGGCCTGTTTGGACCTCTGTTGTAGAACTTTTCACACTTTATTATATATTATATTTTGTTTTTCTAAGATGATAAAAAGAAAAACAAACTAAATATTCTGACTGACGGGTGATATTTTTTCAAGTATCTCGATATTAAATGAGCATTTGATTAAATTATGTGATATATCAAGGTTATAATATCGATACGAAAGAAAATCTATATGATCGAGTCAATAAAAAACACATTTACATATTAATGATACGGTGAGCATCGTTATCTTGATTAAAAGCCAGTCAAATGATAATTTTGTTTTCTAACCCATAAGGATCAATATCTTCACTATTATATAGTTTTTTTTTTTTTTTTTATACAGATAAAATCAAAATTTAATAATCATGTAAAAAGAAAAAAATATTTTTCAAATCAGATCATAATGAACTACTTTTGTGTCAACTAGATTATTGATATGCGTAATATATATATAGTACGATTTATTTTGAAAGTATAATAATCATTTGTTAATTCAATAATCTGACAAATTTCTTATCAGTCTTTTTCAAAAAAAATCTACTTACAATATATATTTATATAATATTTAAAAACAAAACATTGCTTAATAATAATATAACAAAAATAATAGCTTATAATTATCAATATCCATATGAAAAGTATCAAAGGTAACTCTTTTGTTACGAAATCCGCATATATGCGTGTTGGCCTTTTGCTCGGACTATTTTTGTTACAGTTTTGACTTTTCCGCTTAAGTAGAGATGTTGCCTCAAAAGCCACCATGATGATTACTCAATAATCGTAGACTAACCCCACCCACTTCTACTCTGGTTGTACCCTAAGCCCCTTCAGGGTAGAGTTATCCTACAGGGTTCTACTACTTAGTTAGATCCTAAAAATGCTTTCATATTATCAGAATCACAGCGTCACTGTGTAGCACTACCACACATATATACGCTCTATTTCAAGTTTTTTCATAAAAACTAAAAATTTTTTTTTGTTGGTAGAAAAACCGCGTAACCAAAGGCTTAAATAAAATTGAATAAATAATATATCTGAGATGATTCGATCATAAAAGTCAACAGTTATAAGAATATAATCTATTTCTCATCGTACTGTTGTTAATGCTGCTCGTCGATAAATACCTTAACTTTGATAATGTTACTTTTTTGTTATTTTATATCAAAGAGACATGTTTTTATTACAGCTCTCATATTTATTTTTCTTTATATTAAACTGATTGTATATTGTATTTTAAATGAAAAAATAAACACAAAAGAAAATATCAGATTTGTTTTAATGCTGTTTTCACAATTTTGTTATAGAAAAACAAATCGAGTTCACTTGATGATTTACTTAGAATATAAATTGACTTATAAACTTCATATATTTCAAAGTACTTCGATTAAAATTATATTTTTATATACGTAAGTCAATTTTGATCTTACAGTAAACTCTCAATTTAAGAGTAAGAAAGTATAATATGAAATTTTTATACAGTCTATGTTCTCTACTCTAAATTTTGGTAAAATTCATAAAATAAAAAAAAAAAGTTTTACTTATATACATTTAAATGCAAAACTTTAAGCGTTTTATTGATTATTGCTTCCTTAAAAAGAAAACAAATTCATATTATAACATTTATTTCATACTAATCCGTAATAGATTATTCACCTTGAATCATAATATCAATATATTTTATTGATACATATCTGTATAATTTTCAGCTCTCAGAGAGATGTAGACATACAAGTTCTTGAAGAATGTATAATAAATAGTATCAAGAAGATATAAATCGAAATATATTCTAAACTATGATTTCTTTCATTAACTATGTAATATATCCTAATATAATCATGATTGTAATTGTTTTAATCAAAAAACAAAGAAAAACTTTTGTTTTATTTCTTTTCGATTGAAATCAAATAAATGAGAATTCAATATAATAATTTGTTTCTCTAATACTTAATCTTGATATTAATATCAAATTTTGCAATATACAAAAGATGATAATCACGATAGAACTGCTATTTTGTGATATATGCCTTTTTTTTTGTTTTTTTTGATCGAATATGATTGCAATTTAATGGATGAATGAACACGTCAATCTTAAAATTTGTCAAAACTTAATTGAAAAAACTAATATTTACTTTCATTAATTATTATATTTCAGGAAGTCATATTATTTTTTATGATACGGTTGAAATCAAATGACGCCTTTTTCTTATATATTACATTTTCAATTTCGCTATTTCATTTAAGAGTTTTTATAGGAATTTTCAAATAAAAAACAAAAAACCACAAACACTAATATTTATTTCTGTTTGTTTTTTTTTTAAAATAATTCATAAAAAAAGTTTAAATTAATTTAGTAAAAATAAAACAATGATAATTTGATATTTGATTTAAATGTATGACAGAAAATAGAAATAAGAAAAAAAATTTTATAAAATAAAATTTCAAAGGAATGTTGAAATATACCGGTAAAAAATTCGAACACCTCGACCAAGAACATTCTAGTAATGTCTCTCCTTCATCATAGACCGTGACAAAAAGTTTGTTGTTATACGGTCATAGACTGTATATTAATAATGTTTCATTATAATTCATATGAATTATTGATTGCCTTTCTCAAGGACTTTAAAAAAAAAAGAATGATAACGAAATGTGGCAAAGGATTACTTTTTCATATTAATTTGACAAAATTTCTTCGAGATAAAAGAAAAAAAAACATTTAGATTTCCATTATTGTTTTTAGTAAAATTTTCAAATAGATTTTTCTTTTTTTGTATTAATATATTGACTCTCTATTTATGAAGTTTATTAAACTCTTGATAGACATATACATATCTTATATGATTCATTAAGATACAACGAGAACTATGTAACGGTAACTTGTTACGAGACGAGCAAGGTTCTATAGAGATGCAAAACAGCGTTACAAATTTTAATGATATCAATATACATATAGTTAAACGACAGAAAAACTGTCTCAACTATATAATGATAACTAAGCAACGCACTTTTTTTTTGATTATCAAAGAAAAAAAATTTTTTTTTTTTTTTTTTTTTTTTCATTTTAAAATAGATAAGATAATCGTGTACATTTATTTATTTATTTCGCAATAAAAATTTGTTTACTTAATACGATGAGATTTTTTTTTAATATTATTTATAAAAACTGTTGATTGATTTTAACAGACGATAATGAAAAACAAAAAAATGTTTTTTTTTTAATATCACAAACGAAAAACAATCAATTTTAAATTCCAAAAAAGAAAAATTTTTATAGATTTTGATAAATCAATCCATTTCATCTCGTTCAAAAACACAGAAAAGATATAATATCATAAAAATTTTTTTTTAATAAACTCGAATTAAAACTTAATTTCTTGAAAATATACGTGTATTCATAAATTCAACATATATATATATAACAACAAATTAATAATAATTATAGTTAAGAAAAAAAAAAGAAAAGATCCTCTAATTAGAAATAAGATATTTATCATCAAGCCCAATCAATGACAACTATTGATTGGGCTTGATGATTTTCTTCGTCTTCTTTTTTTTTTGTTCCATTTATTTTTTTTTTTTCATGGTCACATACTGTAAAATTATTCAACTCACTCAATTGCTAATTATAAATTAGAGAATAATGTAGAACTATACGTGATACTCCTATCAAAATATTTTTTCATCTGAAGGTAAACATCATTTTTTTTTAATGTGCATCAATAATCATACCTGAATAGATATATTCACAGTTCTGACTTTAACCTACGCTTCGTTTTTGGTACTGCTATGCTTTTTACGTATGAAATGAGCGAAAAAAAAAAAAGACATACACAACACCTATATAAACATATTGATTTCTTTTTTCGTTGCAGTCATAAAGTTTTAGTATAGAAAGTCGTACATTCCTTTATTGATACAGTTAAAATGTATTCACCACCGGATCGTAGCAGTGCAGCAGGAAAAACTGCACTTCCAATTATTGGAGCTATATGTTGTGGAGCTCTTCTTTTATTATTACTTGCTGCTACTATTGTACTAGCACTTATACCCATTTATACACCAACTAAATCAGCTGCATTAAGTTCGGGTAAATTAATCATTCATGGTTTTTTTTTTTGTTTTACAAAAAAAATCTATTTAATAAAATACGATTGTAGGTGCAACAAGAAGTTCTCCAGTCACAATGTATCTCAATGCTGGTAATACAAATGGAAGACGAAAAAGACAAACATCAGGAAATAGTGGATTATTGAATTGTATTGGTGGTAAATTTGCACCATCAGCCAATAAAATGGTTGAAGATGGGGTATGTCTTTTATTAATACTTTTCTCTTTTTGATATTCAGAAATGAAAAGATTGAGAATAAAGATATAATTGTCTAATTCATCTAACTATTTCTTCTTCAAACAATAAATTTTTTTTGTGTGTGTGTTAATCTGTTTATTCTATTTCAGCTTCGTAAGGCTTGTCAATCGAATAAAAAATTCAGTAATGTAGAAGTATCAAGTACTGAAGTATCAGCCGAAAGTACTAGTAGACGAAAACGTTTGTAAGTTATTAAATATATTATTAAGATTCAATATTTCCAACAACAATATCTTTCTAGTTCACTTGTAAAACGTCAATCTGCTAGATTTGTCTTAAAAGTTATTTGCTTCTTCTACTTTGTGGCAACATGTGGTTATCAATGTCAATCAAATTTTGGTCCTGCTATAGCAGCTCTAGTCAAAGCTAATGCACCATCTTCAATGTCTCTTACTAATGTTCAAGTACTTAATTCAAGTGGATCACAATGTGCACTTATAGCTTTTCTTAGTATTTTAGAAGTTTTAGCCATATCAAGTATAGGTAAGATGATTTCATTGTTTTCTTTTTTTTTTTTGTATCTAATTTTGCTCTTTTTTAGGACCTGGATCAGCTTCTTTCGCTGCATTACCTGCACGTCCAATAGCTGTTATATCAACAGCTACTACTAGCACAACGACTACTACAGTATCAGGAAATATGGCTGGTTAAAATTAATCTTACTTACCATTTTCAATTGACTGTTTATCAAACGTTTCGGATAATGATCGCATATCTGCTTTAATCACATCTCGTTCTATATTAACACAACAAAAAAAAAAAAAATTATTTATTATTTATACTGAAAACAAAACTAACCTGTAGTAATTTTAACTAACAATTGATTTTGCTCATCATATTGTTCATTAATTAAAATATTTTTTTTTAATAATTCATCA